TGAGATCGTGTTGGGTTCTCAGTGTGCTCTTGACTCCTTGTTTTAAGTTCTGTAAAGTTCTGTAGTGGTAACACTCCTTGTGTTAAGTTCTGTTTCAGTGAGCTATATATTTGGACAGATAGTGAAATGGAAACTTATAGGTTAAAAAAAAATAAGAAATACTTTTAAAATTTACCCACAATTCAAAAGCTAGTTTTAAAAAGATGCAACTCTCTTTCCTCTTCTCCTTTGCAGAAGCCAAGTACAAGAAGCTGGAGAAGCGATGAAACAAAAATCTATTCCTTGGGTTAACAGCACACCTTGTTATGGACTATGCCACCAGAGTTCCCTCTTCCTATGGGACGAAGTCTCTTTTTAAAAAAAAATGAATTTTAAATTATTTTGATAAGATCTGAAGCCTGGTACTGATGGAAATGTCAAGGCTCTTCAAAAGGATACCGTGTTGGAACATCCTAAAACTGGGTAAACTGGAGGTCTCTGGCTATGTCTGAACTTCCTTGAGCTGAGTTGAGGATCAGCAACTCACAGTTACAACTCTTTCTTTCTACTTGAACACTTTACCTTCTGTTCAGGACAGAGACCTGAAGTTAAGAGTAGGCCCGGACTTAATAGAATCAAATGACAGGACCTGTTTTCTCTGATAGTGGTTGGGTACTTCATTATTTTCTCATGGTTGGTCTTTTAAGTTACTGTATAAAAGGCTGTTTTTGCTATTATTGATGCTAATGTGTTGTTAACAAAAATTTAAATTTAAAAAAGTGAACAAACTTATCCTTTGTAGTTTATCACCTTGTAAATGTCAGTAATTTACTTGTGGATAACATTGGGAATAATAACATCATTTTAAAATAGTTGTGGGCCACATCTTCTAGTAAACTGAGCAGGAACAGGGGAAAAACAATTTGTGATATAGCTTGGAGTATGGAGTGGGGCTCTCTTCTCTGTGTGTTGAATATCTGAGGGTAGATGATTGCCTCTTTATAGAAACATGATGAAGACCAGCACAAGATATTTTGTGGGTGTATGAAGAGAGAGAGATGAGGAGGTGGGGCTTGCCACTCATAAAATGAAGTATTTTATTAAATATCCTCCTACTTTTGTCTAGGGGACACTGAGGACCCAACCGTCTTCCTTTCAGACTAAAGATATTAGTAAGTGGGGACACTGAACAGTCTGGTTTGGAAGACAGGAAGCTTTACCCAAAGTTGGGCATTAGCAGCTAAGAAGGTACCGAGGTTCCAAATTCTGTCTCTGTCTTTTCCCACCATCTCTGTCACAGAGCACCAACCTTCATCTCAGTCTCCTCTGGACTATTGTTATGGTTGCCTCATCTTAACTATTCCTCCAGACCACTTTCTACACTGCTGCTGGAACTCTTTCTAAAATGTAAACTGGCCTTCTGATATGTCTTCCTTAGATTCCTTTGTCACCCTCATCTGTAAGTTTGTTTTATTATAGTGATTTGCAAGTTCCTATTATGCTGGAAGCTGAGTGAGGCACAAGTATTTCAAATACTAGCAGTATTTCCTCTAGTGTACAAGTTTAATGGAGTTTCCAGACTAAGATAGATTGAGAATAAAGATCTTCGGGGGGAAAAAAATGGAATGGAAGCCTTGTGAATAGCAGTGGGACATTGTCTGATTCCGTGCTGAAAGATGAGCTCCCAGCAATTACATTGCTGGGAATTTACCCTAAAGAAACCAGAATCGCCATCTAAACAGATGTACGCAACCCATGATGAATGCTGTATTATTCACAATAGCAAAGAGATGGAAACAACGCAAGTGTCCATCAACAAACGAATGGATAGAAAAACGATATAGTCACACCATGGAATACTATGCAGCACTGAAAAATAATGTGTAAACTGTTACATAAAATGGGTGATCCTGAAGGACATTAGGCTGAATGTAATGTCCTCAAAGGGACAATACTGCATAACACCACTGTTATTAAAGCAGGGCTGACATGGGGAGGTTGAGAGGAGAATAGGAAAGGAGTCAATAGATTATGAACACTATATTAGAACAGATGAGGGGGAAAACTGTTTAAAAGGAATATGTGATTAGGCATTGTGTAAGTTAACAGTCCAGAATAAGAGGTACCTTGCAAAGAGGGCTGGTGAAGGAGCTGGGAGGAAATTGTGCAACAATGAATGAAAATACAACTTTTCTGTAAACTTTCATTAAAATAAAAAGCCTTTTTAAAAAAAAGATTGGAAATACTCAAAATATGAGAGTGAGCTGCTTCTTCAAAGTAGAGCCAGCCTTAATGATGTCAATGGAGCAGAGCTTTCAGGACCTTTTTTCTGATGTGGTTTGACTCAAAAAGGGAAGATACAGCTTTAAAATTCCATTAATAATCAGAATGTGCAAAATATGAATGAGGGAAAATTGAGAGTTAATAAAGATTAAACACTTAAATATCCTTGCTTTTAGGTGCTATTGAATTGGTTCCATTCATAATGACTTTTTATACAAGATGAAGCCATGTAGTTCTGTTCAAAATCAAAGATGTTGCTTTGAGGACTGAGGTGCACTTGGCCCAAGCTATGGTATTTTCATTTGCCTCATGTGCATAGGAAATTGAACAATGAATTAAGAGATCCCAGAGCATTATTCACCATTACAAGAATAAGGAAACAGCCTAAATGTCCAACCACAATCAAATGGATTGAGAAATTATGGTCCATTCACATGATGGAATACTATGCAGCACCCAGGATCAATGATTTTGTAAATTATTACCTAACTTGGAAGGGAATGGCGAACATTAAGAGAATGAACTCAGTCCCATAAGGACAAATACTGTATGAGACCATTATTGTAGAATGAGTATGAGGATCCAACAGGGGGAATGGAGAGGGGAGCAAAGAGGGGAGGATGGGCAGAGGGGTGCTGTTAATCATAGGGTTGCACGATTTGATGAGCGGAGGGGTGTGTGTGAAGGAAATGGGAAAGATCCAGTGTGGAAAAGTGTGTATGAACTTTGTAAATAAACAAGTATAGCATTAAAAGGGGAGTGGGGGGGAGATCCCAAAGAAGAATTGATGCCTTTGAATTACGATGTTGGAAGGACTATCAGAAGAATCCTTTTAAGCATGGTGGTGAGATGGGTTGACGCAGTAAATGGGGTAAATGGGGACAGCTGTTTTGGAGACAGACTGGTTTAGCATAGGGCAGATTCAGGGTTGCTATTAGTTGTAAGTGATTTGGTGGCTCATAACAATCACTACCAGAAGAACAAACAAATCTGTCTTAGAAGTATAGGTAGAATGCTCCTTGGAAGCAAGGGTCACAAAACCTCATTTTATGTCCTCTGGACACATTATCAGGAGGGCCTTGTCCTTGGAAATAGATATCATACTGGTCAAGTAGAAAGTCTGGGTTGACACTATAGATACAACAAACTCAGCAATGATTGTGAGGATGCACAGAACCAAAAAGCGTTTTATTGTACTTAAAGTCACTCCCTATGAGTCAGAGCCAACTCTCCAATGTATAACCACCACAACTGTATTCTTACTGTTAGTACTGCTGCCACTGCTAGATGCTGTGCCCCAGGCTGGGTATGCTACGTCTTGACATACCCTCCTCAGCACATCCATGACCTGGCTCACATCTCAAGATTTTAGGCACCACTCAGATGAGCAGAAACTGACCCAACTGGGCATTCTAACTCCAGTCTTCTGTTGGGCTGCCGGATACTCTTGCCCCAGGCCAGTTTGTCTTTTATTTCCCAGGTTGTTGTGAAGTGTAGTTGAGTACAACTCATAGCAACCCTATGAACAAAAGACCTAAAACCTGTCCTATCCTGTGCTATCCTAATCATCCTTGATACACTTGAGCCCATTAATGCAGTCACTGTGTCAATCCATCTGGTTGGAGGGCTTCCTCTCTTTCACCAATCCTCCATAATTAAATAATTGCATGCTATTATTTACCATAGCATGCATTTAATTTCTAGAATATTTAATTGTTTTCAAGCAAAATCTAATACCAAGAAGCTGTTGTCTGAATAAAACAAGGGAACACAACATGGTTTACTCCATACCTATTTTGTCTGTATTCTGAGAATTCGAGAAGCTGGACCCTATGAAGAAGAATGTGGCATCAACATTAGAGGAAGACTTACTAACAAACTTTGTCTCGTATACTTTGGGCATGTTGCTAAACGAGGCTATTCCATGGAGAGGGGCATCATGCTTGAAAAGTGAAGGATTGGTGAAAGAGAGGAAGACTCCCAATCAGATGGAGTGACACAATGACAGCAGCAGTGGGCTCAAGTGTGTCAGACTGTGATGATAGGAGAAAGAGCTAGAAGAAAGTTCAAATCTGTCGTTCATAGAATCGTTATGAGTCATACTTGGTTTGACGGCACCTAACAATAACAAGAACCTTAGTCTTGACACGCTAAAGTACTCGTGAGTGAACGGTCATGTCTGCAATATTTTTTCAAATGTCGGTGAAAAAAGTATTTGTACTCGCAGAGGATTATGGGACGATGTTAACGCTAAATTGAGGTTGATGGCATTCTTTTAACGTTCTGATGTTGTTTTTAGTAAAACCTATCAATACAAAAAGTGAGAGGAGAAAGGCTTTGTCTTCCTCACTAGACTGATAGGGTTAGTGTCCAGCATTGTGCAGGGAATGTTGTAGCAACTCAGTAACTTCGTTAAATTAAGTGGGATGGAAAAAAATTTTAAAAAGAACACGAACAATTAAACCTTCATTAAACCCTTTTAGTCCTTTCCATCATGACGATTGTCATAAACGGAAATGAACTTTTGTTGCCAGCTCTCAAGGGCAACTATTTTCCTTTAATTTTTGACACCTCTTTAAGGCGAGGCATGGCAAGAGAACTATTTTTCCCCCAGGCGCTCCCCGTAGAGACCTGAGCCCTCATTGGTTGGTTCATGATGATGTCATAATCACGTTCTCCTTTTTCCCGCGGAGCGCTGGTAAGTTTTACAAGCCTTCAGCGCTTGCTTATCGGGAACAATGGCTCAGAAGCCGCTGCGCATGTGAGTATCCCTAGGTTGCAAGTCTGTGTATTTCTGTGGTGTCTTTGTCATATCTTTGTCGTGACAGGAGAGGTAGAGGAAAGATCGAGAGAAAATACAGGGCCTCGATCACGTTTTGGCCTAACCAAAACTGACTGCTTTTCCGGGTGGTTTTTGACTCTGGAGGGAACGCTCACGAGGACAGTCTCTGGAGAGGCACAAACTCCTGGCTCCAGAGCTCTTTTATCTTAGGCAGAGTGGCCTCCAACTCACCATTTCCTCTGTTTCTTACCACTTTGAGCATGTTGTCCGGAGGGATCATCATGGGTTTAAAGACCAGACGGAGGGTTAAAGATCAGAGGAAGACCCTCAACAAGAAAAACTGACACAATGACTCTAACAGTGGATTTGAGCAAGTCAAAGATGTTGAGGATAGCTCAGAATAGGGCACGGATCAGATCTTGTTGTTCATATAGGGTCGCAGTGAGTCGCAGTCTGGCTCTACGACACATAACAACATTTCTTTTTTAACCAAATACATCTCTCCCTTTACTGGATCCTGGAGTGGTGGACAGGATGCCTCGGTTCACTTCTTGGATGGAGTTTGCAGTGTACCAGACACTGCTAGGCAATGCACAGATAGACTTTCTGCCTTAATAATAGTGTACTGTCTAGATTAAAAGACTAAGAATTCAACTATGTGTAAAATTAATGGGGACATGGACTGAGTATTGAGTTCTGACAAACATTTTTCTCTTTTTTTTCCCTTCTAAAAAAGTTGTTTAAATGTATAAGCATGCTATGACAAGATCCATTTTTCTTGGGGAAAGTGATCTGGCTGCTGTGATGTCACCCCTCCTCTACCCAAACAAATGAAAGCAGACCTGTTGCTTTAGAGTTGTTAGGTGCGGTGAAGTCAGATCTGACACACAGCTGACCCTCCAATAGGTTTTCAGAAGATGTAAAAGGAATAGGAGAAGATTGGCCATCTTTCTCCCACAGAACAGCTGGTGGGTTTGAACTGTGCCCCTTAAGGTCCCAAATCGTGGTGACTCTATGTATTTTAGAGTAGAGCTGCTCCATGGGGTGTTTTCTTGCCAATGAAATATTGCTAGAATGCTCCTTCAAGAAAAGATGGTTGTGCCTTGTCTCTATCCTTGGGACACAGTATCATGTTCCAGCAGCCGTCAGACCAGTCTAGACCTAACCTCTCAAAGCTCTTCTGAGGGCAGCCTCAGCACTTGACATGCAGGCGAGGTTGCTCTGTGCTAGCCTGGATCTGCTAGTGTCTGTCCCAGCCTACACTTTTTTTTTATCTGCTTCCAGTATGTTCTAAGTCCTTTCTCAGCTCCTCCCTGAATTCTCTGCTGCCATTTCTGTATTTAATGGAAACTGGCTTCTCTGCCTCTGTTTTTCCCCAGTTCTTTCAGATCCAGGATTTTGGATGTTGCTCATATCTGATTCTTCTGAAGTGTCTGCAGTCTCTTACTTTTTGGGGCCAACCCTACAGAGACTAGATCACCTCTCTACCTAATCAGACCTATTTATGTTTCCTGATTTACCTTAACAATTATGTTTCTTGTTTGTAGCTTGGCTTGTGGAGATGTTGAAGGCAAGTTTGATGTTTTATTTAATAGAGTGCGAGCAGTTCAGAAGAAAAGTGGAAACTTTGATGTAAGATGTTTCTCTTTTGTTGACTTTCATTTTACTACTATCATCAGACATTGAAATGGAATTCAGATTTTTTGATTCTTTGCTTTTTTTTAGGATGTGTTCATTTTATCAGTTGGGAATAGCTGGGGAATGATGGAGAATGGGGAGCATTTTTGTATATTTTGAGTTGAATCATGTTATTGTATTATTGTTCCCAAAACTGAGAACAGACCAGCACAACCTCCCTAGGTGATGCTAACCAGTTGGGTTTCAGAGCATGAGAGTCCTTCAGGAACCGTTACAGTGGAGTAAGGCAGATAACACTGTCCAGACATTCGCAAACTACTTAGTTGATCTGGTTCTTAGCAACCTCATGTATGTCAGAGTATGCAGAGGGTTTTCAGTGGATGATTTTTCAGAAGTAAATGGCCAGGCCTTTCTTCCAGGGTGCCTCTGGATAGACTTAAACTACCACCTTTAGCAGCCAAGCATGAACATGTTAATTGTTTGTACCATCCAGGAACTAAATACTGATACATAGTATTGTCTACCAGATTTTGAGTACAGATTCTGAGTAAGAGGATGATTTCTCCACTGAATTAAAGGTTGAATAAAGACAATAGACAAGAAATGTGGGGGGGGTTTGTGCTCTGGGTCCCTAACAGTATCTAGTATTTTAGTTTTATATTTCACAGAGGGTTTCTTCAGAAGTCTGGTCTACTATCACTCTATGCTTCAAGGCAGAAGGATGCTGGAGAGAGCCATGGAATGGCACAGCGGGACTGGACATACGTGCAAACAATTCAAATGCTAGTTTCTATTGAAAGTTCACTTCCTTGACCCTCTCCACCATCCCTCAACTTAAAGTTGTAAGTGGGCAAGATTTAGTAATTTTATAGAATCAGGATAATTACTGCTGAAAAATTCTATGTTGAAATTCTGCAAACAGAATGAAATATGGTTTGAGACCACAGAGTAAGGTAATTAGGTAACTGTTACTATCAATTTTGTACTTTTTGAATTTTAAAATCTCATATATCTGTTTAAAAAACTCATTTTAGCTGCTGTTGTGTGTAGGAAATTTCTTTGGGCCCACCCCAAGTGCTGAATGGGATGAATACAAGACTGGCATCAAGAAAGGTATGGAAACTATTTTGTTTAATATGTGATTTCTAACAAAGTCTCAAGGGCTATAGTTTTTGCTAAGTTGTTTTTCACTGCACATGTTAAATTTTGTAAGGAATCCCTCTTTGAACTTGGCATCGAGCTGGGAAGAATTCTTATGCACATTCCAAACGGCCACATTTTGAATTTGAATGGATTTCACTGCAGAAAAGAACACTCTTCCAAATAGAAAAAGAATAAATTTATGTGTTCTTTTTCCTTTTTTTATAGTTGTAGTGGTTGTTTTTTTTTTAATTTAGGGTCTATGTTTTCCTAGTTATATATTGACCATCCTTATTGATACTGTTTTAGAGTACAGCATTCAGCCATGAGTGAACCCGAGAGAAATAGCTGTTGAGTCTAGAGCTGATTCTAAAGTCCTGTGGCTAGTCCAAAAACAGCAGTTTGCAAAAAATCCTCTATTTGTGGCTTCTGAGTTTTTCTGTAACCTTGGTAATAAAGTTCCTTATTATGCACACACAGTACTAGCATAGTAGCCTTAGATATACAGGATCATGAATTTATGGTCTGCTTCATTTCCATTTCCATACCCTGTTATCCTGGACTGAACACATTCACCTGATTTTCAGTTTTGCCTGTGTAACGCCTGTTGTGTGTTTCTCCTTTCCTGTGTCTGAATTCCTGAATATTCTGTTTTCTGATAAGATATAGACATGGGCTTGCACCCGTATCAAAGAGTCTTATTTAAGAAGCCAGGAAACAAATGTATGACCCCTTTACCCCTTGATAGAAAGGGAACTTCAGTTTGTAATTTGTACAAACCTTTCTCTATAGGTATAGCCATCTGGGGGCCGGGGGAGCAGGGAGAAAAGTGCAACAGTGAATGGATGGAAGTCCAAAGTCTCTGTAAATTTTCATTAAAATTAATAATTAAAAAAAGGAAGAAAAAAAGATATAGCCGTCTGGAAGCTACCTTGCCCTGTCTTACTGACAGTTCAATTCTTCCACTCTATGCCGTTTACCTTTCTTGACTTTTTGTGACTGCAGTGGTTACTAGTTCTTTTCCCTACAACAGTGTGTCACTTTATTGGTTTAATGATAACTGTGTAATGGTCAGTCTGTGAGGTGGGACTAAGATATGCCGAAGCATTGAGCATGTTCTACCTATAGGATTGCTGTGTGAGGAAATGCACAGATTTTTTGTGCTTTTGCTGTAAGGCTATGGGGAAGCATTTCTCAAAGTCCAAAACAGATTGGGTAATAACAATATGATGTATCTGTTTTCCTTACTAGCTCCTATTCAGACTTACGTATTGGGTGCAAATGACCAGGAAACAGCAAAATATTTCCAAGAGGCTGATGGGTGTGAGTTAGCAGAAAACATTACTTATCTGGGTAAGTTGATAATGTTTGTACTTCTAATAAACATAACTGCCATTACATTAATGCGTCTACTATTTGAGATAATAGGAGTAGATAGGCTCTTTTCCAGGAGCCTTGGTGTTGCCATCCTTAAAGCACCCAACTACTGACCGAAAAGTGGTTTGAACCCTTCAGTCAACCCACAGGAGAAAGGTCTGGCAGTCTGCCTCCATGGAGAACTAAAGCCTTTCTTAGCCCATGGTATAAAGAGGCTGCAAATACAGCCAGAGATACACAACTGGGAGAGGATAAAATTGATGAATGAGACCTTCAAAAGATTAAATCTGTGTGCGCATCAAAAACTTTTTCCAACAGGGTAAAAAGAAAATATACTGACTGGGGAAAAACAATTGGCCAATACCATCTCAGACAAAAGTCTCATAACAAAAGTTTACAGAGTACTGCAGGATCTCTGGAATTTATCAAAAACGAAAATCTCAACTTATAAAAAACGCACAACTTAATTACTAAATAGGCCAAGGACATGTGTAAACACCAAACAAAATATTCAGATGGCCAAGAAGTACATAGAGAAATGCTCGAGATCACTGTGCCATCAGCATGTCTTGAGTGTTTGGAGAGATCAAGCTATTGTTAAGTTCATGGACTCCCAAGGGAAAAGAACATTGTTTTAAGAGATCATTGGCAGTTACCGGGTAGTTAGTAACCTCGAGAGAATGGTGAAAAGCAAAGATTTTTTTCCTTTTCCTCCTTGTGTCTCCCCCTTGCCAAGAAGTCCACATAGAATCTCTGCTTTTCAATAATTTTTATAAGACTCCTGGGGTAAACATTAACCTGTGGCCTCAAGTAACCAATAAAGGCATATAAGTTGGGAAGGTACTACTTACTGACTGAGTAGGAGTGATGTTGGAGGTGTCCGGTTAATAATGAACAGCCACAGTAGAGCTATAAGAATTTACTATTTAAAAAAAAGAGGCAGGTAGACTGGGAGGGAGGTGGCAAGCGGAGGGAGATTTCTCACCATAAAGACTGTTTCTTGTTATTTTGACTAAGTTATCTCAATTTTTGGTTCATTATAGGTCGTAAAGGTGTCTTCACTGGAACATCAGGGCTGCAGATTGTGTATCTCAGTGGAACAGAGTCCTTACAGGAGCCAGTCTCGTGCTACAGTTTTAGTCCCAAGGATGTGTCTTCACTGCAAACAATGCTGTGCTCAGCATCCCAGTTTAAGGGCATCGATATTTTGCTCACATCCCCATGGCCCAAGTATGTGGGGAACTTTGGGAATTCTTCTGTGAGTAGTGTTTATTCATTTGGAATTTTTAAAGCAGACTGTATTGGCTTAATTTGTGCTTCCCTTCCTCGTTTAGCTCTTGGTTCCTTTCAGAAGTCTTTAGTGAATTCTTTTAGGATACTAAAACTATTAACTGACCGAGGCAAAACGTTGTTAATAAGAAAGCTTGATACGTGGATGAGATAAAAAAAAAAGAAAATCTTAAATATGAATAACTGGGTTTTTTTATTCTTTGCTTCAAATGCCTTGTCTCCAGCCTCCTCTTAAGAATATATTTAGAGAGTTAACTTTCAGTGCCAATACTTAAAGCTAGTGACAGCTTTGCAGGTGTGTTTTCTGACTTACCAAAAATTTTTTTAAATTGAGTCATTATGGGGTTCAAGAATTGATCTAAACATGGGAAACAAAGGGTTAACAACTTAGTGCTTCTCTAGTGGTAACACCTTAGTGTTGAGGTGGACTGAACTTAGTTAGACCACTGTGTTTGATCTTGCTATTTTTAGAAGTAATCTAGAAGGTGTACTTGATGTTAGTGGGTGACCATGGGGATTGAAATATGATACTGATGGAAATAAAGCCACAGGACAGTTTTGACAGCTTGTGTTCTAGGCAGAAAGCATCAATTGCATTTTAATGGAAGGAAGTATAAAACTTTACTTAGGTACAGAAAATCTTCAATTATTAGATTCAAATTCAAGTTATTAGTGATGGCCTAGAACAGGAACCTTTGGGTCACTCTCTGCCAGCATCAGGATAATTTATCTTTGACCACAAAAAGCCAGCAAGATACCTGGCATTCTCAGGGAGGCTTCTGGAAGCCAAAGGAACAATGCTGTCTTCTCACTCCATAAATCCATGGTTATTATTCACCTAAAATAAACACAAGGAGTAGTGCTGGCTGTGGTACAGAGAAGATAGAAGGCAAGCCAAGGAAGGTCCAGGGGATGATGGACGGGACAAAGAGGACGTGTTCTGGAAGGAAAGATAAGAAAAGTGAGGCTCATTCATTGGGCCTGGGGAGAAGGTGAAAAGAGGGTTTTGATTAAAGATTATAATAGCCTTGACGGGTATTTATTGGAGGAAAAAATGATTCACCATTTCCTAAGAAAACTAACCTCAAGGCTAATTCCTTGCCCTTGAAGAAATATGAAAGAGACACGCCTAAATAAAGCAAGGTCTTGCTTTGCTGCACAGAAAAGGAACTGGTAATTATTTTAAGGTAATACCTTTAAAAAAAAAAAGAGTTCTATTTAATATTATGGTTGAGAACATCTGTAACAAGCCTGACTTTGGACAAGCTTTGTTTTACAAAGGACGGTTGTCCTTTCTACAAACCATAAATTCTTTGATTGAGGCAAGGTAAAGGATTGCATACTTCTGTGATTCAGTCTGTGAGCATTCCTAACCAGATATTCAGTATGATCCTAGGGCCCTTGAAGTCTGGTTTTTATTTTCTTCATTGACTGTTACATTATTTGAGCTATAGGTATGCTGCAAAGTGAATTCTAGAAGCATGGTCTATGCACTTGAGAGAGCGTGCAAGTGTTGTGTCTTGAACACTACTAGTAAGTCTGTTTTAAAAAGAAGATCAAGGAATGCAGCCTTCGGTATGGATTGCATCTCAGTGTCAAGAAAACAAAGATTCTTACTACTGGAACTAAAGGCAGCGTTAACAATGAATGGAGAGGAGATTAAAACTGTCAACAGCTTCATCTTACTTGAATCCACAATTAACACCCTTGGTATGGGCAGTTAGGAAATAAGGAGACACATGGCACTGGAAAAATCTGCAGTTAGGGACCTCTCCAAATTATTGAGGAGTAGTGATGTCAGTTTGTGGATTGAGGTGCGTCTAATTCAAGCCATAGTCTTTCCAGTGGCTTGCTATGCATCTGAGAGTGTGACAATGAATAAGGATGACAGAAGAATTAATGCCTTTAAGCTGTGGTGTTGGAGAAAATCACCAAAATCCCGTGGACAGCTAAGAAAACAATCATATGTCTTGGAGGTGGTGCAGCCTGAGTGCTCTTTGGAGGCAAGAATGATGAAGCTTCAGCTCACATACTTTGGGCGTATTGCAAGGAGGGGCTATTCCTTAGAGAAGGACATGATGCTGGGAAGGGTAGAGGGTCGGCGAAAGAGAGGAAGACCCTCAACCAGGTGGACCAACACGGTGCCTGCTGCAATGGGCTCTTTTGTATCGGGAAGTGTGAGGATGGCACAGGATAGGACATGGTTCAGATCTTTTGTTCATAGGGTCGCTATGAGTCATACTCAACTTGATGGCACCTAACAACAACAGTAAGGAAGTCTGTTATGAATGACTGACTTTCTTTTTAATAGGGAGAAGTGGATACCAAAAAATGTGGCTCTGCTTTGATTTCCAGTCTTGCCACAGGCTTGAAACCAAGATACCATTTTGCTGCTTTAGAAAAAACCTATTACGAGAGACTTCCATATCGGTGAGTTTCTTTCATTCATTTTAGCTTCTTGAAGAATCTGCCTTGGATCTTCAGTATAAATAAATCTTATTAATTTTTAACCATATACAATTTTGGTTCCTTTTGGCCACTGAAGCATTTAAATTATTGACTTTTAAGTCATTAAATTTGAAAGTCAAGCAACTGAACTGTAAAAGTTTGAAGCTGCAAGGTGCCTACACTGTTAAATCAATATCGCTTTATGTAGCACATTTGATCTGATTCAAAGTTCTTAGTATAATCAATTTCAGAAGTATTTCAGTTTGAGAATCAAGATTTAGTAACATATTTTTCCCAATTTAAACTTTCTTTTTATTGCTGTCATGTCAGCACCGACTTGTAGCTGGGCCTCCATTGCCTTTCTGAAGCTGTAAATTGCGAGAGAAGAGTTTTTGCCCATCTTTTTCCTTGTAACCGTTGATGGATTTGAACTGCCAGAGAGGGTTTGGGTTAGCAGTGCAACTTACAGATTGATAGAGTTAAGTAAACTTAACAGAAAATTGTCTTTATTGATAAAGGACATAGATCAAAGATTTGAAGCACTTAACTGGAACACTTACCCGGTTATGCTGTATTCTGTTCTGTAACTATGCAAGTTTACTCATTCAGTTCCTAGACAACTGGGCAGTTTACAGTTTTGGGCTATTATAGATAAACTTTTGGTGGATATAAGCACTCATTTTTACTGGGTATATGTGCATGAATGGGGTGTTACTTAACTGTGGTTGATGGTTGTTAGTAGTGGTCAAGGCTGAATCTTCTAGTGGACCCTCCAGCAGGTTTTCAGAAGCTATAAATCATGCAGGACAAGACTGCCCATCCTTCCGAGGAGCAGCTGGTGGATTCAAACTGCCTGCCTTTGGGTTGGCAGTGCAGCTCCTTACCATTGCGGTGTTTTTTCCCACATGCTGCTTTGGCCTATCGCTGGTCTAACTGATAAATTTTTTTTTATAACTTCATCTAAAGCTATGTTTTCCCCAAAAGATAGCTGGGAAGAAAAAAAAATACAAGGATGACAGTTAAAACTAGAGGTCAAGAAAATGCATATTTATAAATATTTCAAAGGGCTTTGAGAGTTGGGTAGCAAACAGTAGAACAGACAGTCCTTCTAATCAGATTTTCTCCTTGAGAGATTGGGCTGGTAGAGAAAGGGTGACAGATTCTGTGCATGAAGCCACAGGGCAAGGCGCCTCACCACCAAGTTAAAGAATCAAAGGAGTGAAACCTAAGAACCAAAAGTGCTAGGGCTGTATTTTTAAAGGTCACCTCATTTCACCCTAGTTCCAGGCAGCCCCAGGGAAAACTATAAAGACAATGGGTTCTCTCTTCTGGGTCTCCAGAATATTTTTTTGTTAAGAGTACTGTAACATACTATTGTTCACAATATGTGCTGGCTTTGTGGGGTGGTGGGGGGCAGGTTATACATCCCTGGCCCATTAATGTCAGGATTGGTCACAAGACTTGTTCTAAGTGCAAGTGAAAGAAGGTAGATTCGATTCACTGTGTCCTCTTTTTCCCTTCCCAGATGACAAGTTGTGTTCTAGATTAAAACAAAGCACACAAGCAAAAAAATTTCCCCCCAAAAAACAAAACCAAACACCTAAGCCATAGTTGCTGTAATGTTGTCTCAGTTGAGACAACAAAGGTGTCAGAATAGAACTTTACCACAGGATTTTCAAAAGCAAAGTTTTCAGAAGCAGATTTCCTGACCTTTCTTCCACAGTGCCTCTAGGTACACCTGAAACTGGGCTTTCTGTTGGCAGCCAGGTATAGTGTTGGCATCACTCAGGGATGCTTTTCATATACAGAAAAGCTTGTGAAATCTGGAACTTGTATAAGACAACTATTTCCTACTAATAGGTGAGCAATGAGAAGGGGTAAGACTGTACCCTGTCAAAGGCAGGAAACTTTCAAGACCTGTAGAACAAGGCAACCTCCTTGAATCCAGCTCTCACAAGTTTCACTGTATCTGATTGCGTTTCTTCCCAACAACAGCCTTGTGAAGTCTAGCTTACTATCATGTTACTTGCAGTGATAGATTAAGGTCCTGTACACTTTTCATGGCCCTATAGAATCTACATAATTTAATGAATACAAATCAGATGTGAAGTTTATTAATAACTTGTTATGTTTCAAATGTTTTAGAAACCACATCGTTCTACAGGAAAGCGCCCAGCATGCCACCAGGTTCATAGCACTGGCAAATGTTGGAAACCCAGACAAGAAAAAGGTAAGATTTGCATTTTTTTCATATAGTAGTATTGTGTGTCTGATAACTGTTTGTCTTCCCCAGTTAAGTGTTCAACTTCAAAGTCTCAATAACGTTAGGGATTCCTTTGAGAAGATACAATAAAGGAGATAAGATGAAGGTTCTTGAATCCTTCATTCTTAGAGATTTTAGAATATGATTTTGAGAGAAATAGACCTACTAGAACAAAGACAAGATTTCAGAGGCACAGTGTTCATGTTCTCCCATGTCCCTGTGACTGTCTATAGAGACATCCATGAGTTTGCCCTACATACTACTCTTAACTTGCATATTTTAGCAACTTTGTTAAGCAAGAATAATCTCCTTCCAAGAGTTTATCATATGCATTCCTTAGCTCCAGGAAGTCATAGTAATAATTGGAGCCTGTTCTTCTTTTGGGAGCAGTGCAGGTGAATAACACACAGTACCAGAAAAGTTGGTTACTTTTCTCAATTCCCTGAGAGCATTTCTGATTCATCAGGGCCCAGAGCAGGGCGCTGTGATAGTTAGAATAAGAGAGCAGTTAGTCACATAGGAAAATAGAGATTAAATTGAGTATTACTCCACTATAACATGTCATAGATGTTACATAGACGTCATATGCAAAAGATAACTGAATACATTTTCCCCACAGTATTTTAAGTCCAGTTAATTATTAGCAAGTTTTAGATTTCTATTTTCTTTACCACCCTCCCAAGACTCAGTAACATTCATGGTATATCCAGTCTACAGCTGTTTACCACCAGACACGACATAAATAACTCATATTTTAAAGGATGCATTATTTTGAAATTTGGCAAGCATTCTAAAATTTTATTCTCATTTACATCTCTGACCAACGATGTATGGGGATTCCTGTCAAATATTGTTAACGTTTCACCAGTCTGATAGATAAAAAAAATGGTATATCTTTGTTACCTTTATTGTATTTCTCTGCTTCATACTAAGGTTGAGGGTCATCTATTATCTCATCTAAACTTTTCCACTTTTTTCCTCCCTAGTCTTAAGATTCTAGGGATGTATACGAATACCTTCTTTTTTGCTACTAGTCCCTAAAAAAATTTATCCGCTTATACAGCAAAGTTTGAACAATATCAAAGAAACCCTAAGCTGTCCAGTCAGCAGTTTCTATTAGGAAAAAAAGAATGGCAGTGCTACGGTTTATTTACAAAGCATGTAGCAAGCTCAGGCTGTTTCTTTGGGCCTTATAATGGTGGCGGTCATGATTCTTTCACCTGCGTGAGGACCCTTGACTTGCATGGTGGTTGGCAATTTGGTTTATTGCTTGTTATTTGGTCAGCCCTTGTCAGCCTGTACGGAGGTCACTGAACTAGCTTACTTGACTTACTGTGTATTCTCTAGACCACAGAGAAGCTGGTAGATGCTTTTAAATTTACACAGTTTCTGAAACTTTCTGTGGACTCTTCACGACAAAATAGGATGATTATATTTAGTTATGCACTATTTCCCTTAAGATTATCCTGTTGTTTTGCTGCTTCACCAACCCCTCCCCTTTACAGTATCTTTATGCATTCAGCATTACTCCCATGAAACTGATGGATCCAGCAGAATTGGTAAAGCAGCCTCCAGATGTCACTGAAAACCCTTACAGAAAATCTGGGAAGGACACAGCCATAGGAAAGCAGATTCCTGCCCCTGAGGTATGTTCTGATTGGGGAAGTGGCATTTTCTGGGTGGGACAGCCCATGTTTTACATGTGTGTTGTTCATGTACGGCTCTTCTAGCCGTATTTAGTACATTTTCTTCTTGGGAAATTATGCTGGTGTTATGCAAGGAGGGACCAGTCCTTGGAAGGGTGGAGGGATGGAGATAGAGAGGAAGACCAGCGATGAGATGGATTGATACAGTGACTAGGGTAATGAGAGTAGGTGATTCAGAGACAGTAAAGTCGGCACAGGATAGAGCAAGTTTCAGTGACTTGACGGCACTTAACAACAATGATTTATGCTCAGTGTATATCAAAACTTGATTCATATATTGGGATTAAGAGTTTCACGTAGTAAATTTTTCCATAGATAAACATGATTAACTATTCTTAGTTGTTCAGATGAAAGATCTAAATAGTGGTGATATCATTTGTGATTTTATGTTGAATGCTAGAAATCAGATAAGATGCATACTGAAGAAATGTTCTAAATAGAAGACTTATCTGAAACTAATTATCCCCTAAATATACAAAAAGCAAGAGATAGCAAGTTTCTACTTTCTCTATTAATGCACTTGTCATCTTTTTAGAATAAATCTATATTAGACTTGTTTGACCTATAGGTTTGTAGGACTCACTGTGATCCTTTAAAGGGAGAAAGCAGCAGGAATTGAAATGGGTTCATACTATTCTCTTCGGACAAAAATCATCTATCACATGTATTTTAACTTGTTCAAAAAGCTGAATTTGGTGGGATTGTGGATAAATATTGAGAAATTTCGTTCAAAGTTTAGGCAGCAGGATTGGAAAGATAGTTCTCTTTCCTAGAAAAGCCAGAAAGATTGGGAGGAAAGAGAGACATGATATGACAGAAATATTCCTTTGTAAATGAAAGTCTGCCTGCTTATCTAAAAGTGATTGATGTTGTGGTGATGTACCGTTGGGTTGGAACTGAACCATAACTGACTCACCAGTGGGTTTTCAGAAGCAGTTTATAATCGCATGGGAGGAAATTGCCCATCCTTCTCCCGTGGAGCAGCAGGTGAATTCGAACTGCTCGCCTTTGGGATTGCAGCACAGCTTCTTGCCGCAAAGCTACCAGTGCTCCTTTATCGAAAGGCTGCTCCACAGGAGAAGGATGACAGTCTCCGCTCGTGCAGTTTACTGCCTTTGAAAACCTATTACAGGGCCAGCTAGGAGTAGAATCTGACTCAACAGTATAGAATAACAGCAACAACAACTTCTACCTTTTGGGCACTCCAGGAAGAACCAGCCTGTCAGTTCTTCTTTGACTTGAATGAGAAGAGAGGAAGGAAGCGTTCATCCACAGGCAAAGATGGCAAATTCTCTCCTTCCTCAAAGAAGCCTCACCAACCCCGTGAGTACCCTGGTTCCAGAGATCTCCTATGCGAGTGGTCACTGTGATTTCAGGTTTTGTTTGGGAAGTGGCATTCCTGAGGGTCCTTCTTCTGGCAGAGGAAAGTCATGAAATGAGTTATTAGATTATGCTCCCCACCTTCTTGTTTTAAAGATGGAGTAAGTTGATCGTGGGAGGGTAAATTTATTACCCAGGATGATGTAGCTAGGTAGTAGCATATTTACAACTAGAATTGGGACTACTGGCATTCAGTTCCTTCAGTGCATGTGCTGCCTGCTTCATGCTTTTATCAGCATGTGGTCATCCAGTTGACAATAACTTCTCTGTGGATTACTTACAAAATCAGAACTTTTCTAACAGAGGTTTAATTTCATTGATAATGGTGGTCCTGATGGGGGGTTTCATGGTGAGCTGCACAGTCGGCCTAGCCAATATGGTGCAGTATACCAGTTTTTGCAGGATGTAAGAGTCAGATAAGCCTGAATTCTAGAATGATTCTGTACTTGAGCCAAAGTAATACTTCTCTTCTTTCCACCTGTAGCTCAGCCTCCAGGTCCCTGCTGGTTTTGCCTCGCCAGCCCTGAAGTAGAAAAGCATTTGGTGGTCAATGTTGGTACACATGTGAGTTACGTTTATGGACCTTTACAGAGGAGATATCACTGCGGTTTGGTTTTGTTTGTTTTATATATTTCTTGAATTGAAACATCATGTTGTTGTTAGGTGCCATCATGTTTCCAACTCACTGCAACCCCGACTACAGCAGAGTCAAACACTCAGTGGCCCTCTGCTAGCCTCACAGTCATTGCTGTGTCTGAGCCCGTTGTTGCAGTCTGGGTCAGTCTGTTTCATTGAGGATCTTGCTCTTTTTTGGTGAAACTACAATACAAGTTTAGAACATACCTTCCATACAAGTAAAATCTCTTATGCTCATATACCTTTAATCCCTAGCCAGCCACTAATCTACTTAGTATCTCCATCATTTGCTTTTTCTGAATAGTACTTAGTTTTTGGGTGTTGTCTAGTTGACTTCATCTCGTGGTGACCCTGTATGCAGAATATAAAAGCCTTGCCTAATCCTGCACCACTCTTAAAAGTCTCTGCTGTGCTGAAGCCCTTTGTTGTAGTCATGGAGTCAGTCCTTTCTTCTTTCTTCTTTCCTTTGCTGACCCTCTGCTTTTCCCACATAATGTCTTTTTCAGAGGAATGGCACTTCCTGATAACATGCCTAAATTACGTGAAACAGAAGCCTTACCATCATTGCCTCTATGGAAGAAGCTGGCGTGCTTCTTCCTGGACAGATTTGTCTGTTCTTCAGGCAGCCTGTAACATTCCCTGTTCTTGCCAGTGACACAGTTCAGAGCATCAGTAGTTCTTCATTCTTTCTTTCTTGCTGATCAGCTTTCACATCCATATGAAAAATTGAAAATACAGTGGCTTGAGACAGGCACACCCCGGTCTTTCCACTATCATCCTTGCTCTTCAGCACTTTTAGGGGGCAAGGATATGGGACTTCTTAAGCACTTTCTAGAAATCCTTGATAATCCTGTATGCCCAAGGTGAGACTTCATTTGATTTCTTAACAGCTGCTTCTGTGGTGTTAAGGATCTAAATAAAATTAAATCCTTGACAGTGTCTGTTTTTTCACAGTTTATCATGATGTTGCCTATTGATCCAGTTGTGAGGATTGTTGTGTTTTTGATGCTAAGGTGTATACAATATGTGGTCTTTAGTGTCTGAATTCCTTTACTTAGTGTAGTATTGCAGTGGTTCATCCATGTTGTAGCATGTATCACTGTTTTCTTTCTAGATAGTATTCCTTTGTACAGATATATTTTATCTATCCATTCCCAGTTGATAGACATTTGGTTGTATCTGCTTTTTGGTTTTCACAAATAATGCTGCTGTAAACTTTAACGTGCACGTCTTTGTGTAGACATGTTTTCCTTTTTCTTGGATATACACGTAAGAAGATTGCTTGGCTGTATAGTAAATTTATGTTTCTTGGCTAACTCTTCGCCATCAAGTCAGAACCATTTCATAGCTGACTCAACTCATAGTGGGTTTTCAGAAGCTGTGAATCACAGGAGAGGAGCTTGCCCATCTTCCTGGAGCAGATCAGCTGGTGGATTCACACTGGCATGCCTTGGGTTGGCAGTGCCACTTCTGACCCAGCAGGCCGCAGAGCTCCCTTTAATTTCTTAAGAACCCGCCCGACTTTTCCAGAGTAGCCTCACCAACATGTATGAAGGTCCTTCCTTGTTTTTGTACATCATTGCAAAGAATTGAGTTTTTTGGGATTGTAGTGCGTTTTCCCACCACTACGCCACCAGAGCTCCCTAAGACTTACCTGTTTTGGTTATAGGCGTTCACCTGTGGTTTTGTAGAGCCAGTCTCATAAGATCTCTGTTTTCTCTTTTCCTCCCTCTTTCCACCATCTCCCACAGAGATAGAAATCTGCTGGAGTGGTACTTTTATGTACTTGTTAAGCTTTCTGTATTTTTGTTCCGTGCTACTTGGGAGTGATAAGCTGCTTTTGTTAATTATTCACTGTTTAAAAATGTTCATTGTCCATAAAGGGAGGACTTCTGTTGATTAATACCTGTGGCTATAAATGGATATTTTCCAAGGTTCTTCGAGGGAAAGATTTATAAACCATTTCTTAGCATGTGGTCCTTCTGCAGGAAAATGTTTTCATGCATTTTTTTAAAATTATTTTTTCTTTTTGTTTCTGAAGATGACCTTTCTCTCAATTTTCCCTAACCATCTGAGGGCCTTTTATTGTGGCTTCCTGTGGACTCACTAGTTTCAGTTTCATCTTACACTTTAAAGCACATCTATCTACTTCCTTGGCTGTTTAAGACTGATGAGTCAGTCTTTTACATTTATTTTTTTGTGCTCTGCTTATTGAGACACACCTGTCTTTGTGAATGGTAGCACTAATGAGGTCAAGGCCAGTAGAGCTAAGCATTCTGTACGTGGACGCTTCAGTAGGAAAAACAGTAAATGTGAAAACTTTGCTTTTATCAGAATGCCCTTTCTGGGTTCTGTCTCTTGGTCCCCTTTATCTTTTTTGGATTAGTTTGGCCATTCTTCTCGCCAACACAACTTGAATTTGGCCTGCCTTCCATTTGGAAAGCCCAAGTAGGTCTAGATCCCATAATAAGAACAAGAGATTTGGGGTGGATGACTTCACTCACTTACGCTCATGACCTTTTCTTTCCATTCACTTCTCTGTTAACTCGGTATTTATCTCAGAGTTTGGGCCTAAGAAAAGAGCAAGAAAGTGCCTCTGCTAGCTTCTCATCTAGGCCTGAAGCTGGAGGAATTTAGAAGCATCTGGGCTCTCATCTGGTGTCCAGCCGGCACTACAAGCAGGAGCCCACATGCGGGCTTCAGCTTAAAGCCTGTTTAGTAATTAAGTCTACATTCTCCTTTATTTAGTAGAGCTCTCTTAGGAACCCGTGATGCCTTGCAGAAGATTTGGAATTTCCTCCAAGTTTGATATCATTTTGTTAACTTTTTTCCTGGCTTTCTGTCGTTGACGTGCAGTCTTCCAGAAAGTACATAGAATGGGGCTGGTGGCTCCTGATCATAGATTGGTGAAATGGGATAAAGGCTACTAAGGGTCCAAATATGTTTTGCAAAATCTATACATTTTACTTATGGGAGAAACATCCATGTAGGTTCTTTTTTTTTTTTTTTATATTGTTAGAAATTGGAAGTCAGAATTGATCATTGGCATCAAACAACTGAGATGATCAAGATGTAAAGCAGATTCACTCATAACTCATTGCGGTCAAGTCAGAACCAACTCATAACTGACCCTCCCGTGGGTTTCTGAGGCTGTAAATTGCACGGAAATAGATTACCCATTTTTCTCCCCATGAGGCACTGGTGGATTCAAGCTTTCGGGTTAGCAGAGCACTGCCTATGATAGGCCACCAGATCTCATAGAATAGAAGGTGAATGCTTAAAAGGAAAGGAAGAGATTGGCAAGTCTGAAACTATTCACAAGAAGTGCAAGTATTTAAAAAAAAATTCGCCACTTTTGAGTTAAGTAGTGTTGTTGTTATGGGCTATCAAGTTGACCATGACTATATGACTGTATGACAACCGTATCTATACACAATAGCTCTGAAACCTGTTCCAAATATATTTTTATGCTAAATCCCAATGTGATTCGAATTTGCTTCTTATCTTACTATTGAGCAGGAACCTGAGAACATTGTTGTTGAAATCAGACTATTGAAAATTAAAGAATTCTGATGGCTGGCTGAGCACTTTGCCTTAGGCTCATTCTCTGTATAAGCTTTTCTTCCTGGAGACTCATACATGCAACAGTGATGTCTTGAATCTGTGTGCTTCCTCCTTAGTGCTACCTTGCCCTGGCCAAAGGAGGTTTGTCAGATGACCATGTCCTCATCCTGCCCATTGGACACTACCAGTCAGTGGTGGACCTTTCAGCAGAGGTAGTAGACGAAGTGGAGAAGTATAAGACAACACTCAGGCGGTTTTTTAAGAGTCGAGGGAAACGGTGTGTTTTATTTGAGAGAAATTTTAAGAGCCATCACCTCCAGCTACAGGTAGGTGATCTCTGCCCAGGAATGTGGAAGGTGCTGTGATGTTGATAAATAAATGGTGCTATTCATTTTTTTTAAATAATGATGATGATAATGATTTTGTATTTTAAAATTTAACTTTAATATTTGAAACATTTCCTGCAAATGGCTCATTTTAATATTTTAATGCCATTCACTTTAACTTAGGGAATTGCAAATCGGTTGTTGTTGTTGTTGTTGTTAAGTGCTGTCAAGTTGTAGATGACCCATAATGACCCAATGAATGAAAGACCTGAACACTTGTATAACTTTCATCATTTCTCAAAGTTCATAGAGTTTCTGGAGGCAAGCTATTTCAGAAGTGGATGCCACTCCTGCTTCTAAGCTTGTTTTAATTAATTGGGGAGCTCCACCATTGTCCACCGTGGGTAACCATTATTGCATTTGACACATCAGTGTCACAGCAACCATGGGTTACCTCTGTACAGCAGATGGACAGTGCTTTGCATAGAAAAGGAAGAGTAGTTGAGGAAAACTTTGAAGAGGGTTTGGTCTTTACAGATGGCATTTGGAAGATGTGTGCACTTTGGATACTCAAGAAACCGCAAAGGTATAGAGATAAGAAATAATCTCAGAGCAGCCTCTTGGGGCTTGTGGCTCTTAGACATCTGGCGACTATTATGGATCATCTGTGGTAGTTGTCTTTTTTGGCACATTTGTTAAGTTTTCAAGTGGGCCTGACTCTGCCACATATATTCCATAGGAGCTGGCAAAGGCTTGATGAGAAAGATCTCTCCCTAGCCTTCCTTGCACCAGACATTGACTCCTACAGAAAGGTTAGCTCATAAGTTTAAGACCTTACAGACAGGCCAACATGGACCTGACTGGCATGAGGAGAATCTATGCTGAGGGGTGTTTGTTGCTCCACCCCAGTGATGGCTTTGCTATTTACTCCTCCTCAAGGGACTATGTAGTCACATCCTCTCTGGGACCTGCACAAAGAAATTCTTCTGTTCCCCTCCTGCAGGTCATTCCTGTGCCACTGAGCTGCTGTGCTACTGATGACATTAAAGATGCCTTCATTTCCCAGGCTCAAGAGCAACAGATAGAACTGTTAGAAATTCCGGAACACTCTGATATCAAACAGGTGAGACATGAGGGAGAAATGATCTTCAAGGACAAGTAAAGATCTGGTTTTTGATATATTGAGTATTAAGTCACTCCAGTAATGTTAAGTTGGTAGATGACAATTTGGACCAGAGATTTTAATTCGACTGGATGTTAAATGGGCATTATAACAAAGTCTTAGTGTTTTCTGGAAAGAGCAAATGAAAAATACCGTAAGGTGAGAAGATGAATGCCACTAGTAAGCTCTTGGTGATACGTGCTGGTCTGGCTTTTTAAAATCTAGATCCACTGGTCTTAGAGCAAGCAAAGATTTGAAGATCGCCTAGAGCTGATAATTACTGATCTCTTCTGACACACACCATGCTTCTGGAGTGAATTGTGTGCCAGCATCTTAGATTGATAAATCATATTTGTATGTCCATATACAATGCTGTATTCTATTTTTTTCCCCCTGTATTCTTTAGATTGCACAACCAGGAACAGCATATTTTTATGTTGAACTTGACACAGGAGAGAAGCTTTTCCACAGAATTAAAAAGAATTTTCCCTTGCAATTTGGAAGGTTTGTATGGTTTTTCTTACCAGATCTTTAGTGAACTGGGCTTTGATTGAGCCTTTAACCCTTATTAAACTACTTTGGAAAACGTCCAAGAAATTGCCATCATTGAATAAACAGGGACAGAGAGAGGATGGTGAGATTGTTTTACATACTTTGGGCACGTTATTAAGAGAAACCAGCAAATCATGCTTGGAAAAGTAGACAATAAATCCTTAATGACATGAATTGGTGCAATTCATGAACATTGAGGCTTAAACACAGCAGAGATGGTGGGGATAGCACAGGATTGAGCGTGGTTTGATATTGTTCCTTTTATATGGGGTTGCTGTGAGTTGAAGCTGATGCAACATTACCTACCAAGAGCAACAGCATCACATTTTTAAAGAAAGGATTGTTAGAACAGGTGTGCTATGAGCATTATTGTTGTTGTGACATTATATTTTTGTTGTTGTTGCCTCTGCGGCATATAGATGTTAGCACTAGTGACTTTGGCCTCAATAAAGATATAGAACCCATAAAAGAGAGATTTCTCTAAACATTTTATGCTCATGATCGTTGTATTTTTCCAACATCAGATGTTTTCTAATTTCTGTTTTCATAGCAATTTATCGTTTAAAAAGTGCATTTGAAAAGATCTTTTTTCCAGCTGGACAAGTAAAGTTAGTATTATTTTCATTTTGTAGATAAAGAAGTAGGCTCAAAGCTTTGGCCAGGTCTTCTGACCATGAGAGATCCTTTGACTGTTACAAGATCTGTGTGGTTAAAATTCAGTTCTTCTGTGTATTATCACTTCCCAGTGGAAGAAAAGAACGACCATATAGATGTGCTAATAGCTTTTCTAATATATAAACATAAATAAGGAATAATGACGGTGAAACGTAGTGGCATTTTTTTGTGTGTGTGGAGGGGGTAGTTGTTGTTATGTGCTGTTGAATTGCTTGCAATTCATAGTGACCCCATGTACAATAGCCCTAAACCCTGCTCTATCCTGCGCCAATCTTATTGTCTCTGACACACCCCCATTACCCTAGTCACTGAATCAGTCCATCTAATCGAGGGTCTTCCTCTCCTGTGCTGTCCCTCTACCCTCTGAAGCATGACGCCCCTCTCCAAGGACTAGTCCCTCCTTGCAACATGTCCAAAGTATGTCAGACAAAGCTTCAGAATTCTTGCCTCCAAGGAGCAGCCTGTCTTCACCCTCTCCAGGATGAACCTGTTTGTTTTCTTAGCAGTCCATGGTATATTCAATACTCTTCTCCAGCACCTCAGCTCAAAGACATCAATTCTCCTCCTATCATCCCCAGTCAATTGTCTAGCTCTCTGATGCATAGCAGGTGATTGCAAAGAGCATGGCCTGTATCAGGCGCACCTTTAGCTCCTGAAGACCAAGTTAAGTTGCCAAAGTTTATGCTCTTGTGTATATCAAAACCCAAGTCCCTAAAAGAGGCCAAAGAATTTAAGTCAGAGTGTGTATGACACTAAGTGCCTGACTGTACACTAGCCCCTCAGCAAAGTCATGATCTAGCTGAAATGTCAAAATTAGAGTTTAAGTCAGGATGGAACCTTGGTGACTGTGGTGTGCTGTGTTATCTCCACTTCTCACACAAAACCTAATAAAGTAGGCAGCACCTTAGTTTCTATTACGCTACAGTCATATATCCCCATTCCCAGCGGATACCGAAGAATGACTATATTCTCATTTTATAGATTAGGAAATAATCAGGACTCACAGTTGAAGTGATTTCTTCAAGTCAGTAGGCAGCATGTGGCTGACATAGGAATGGAATCCCTCTTTGTCTGACTCCATGCACTACCTTTTTTCCACTGTTAATTCTTTATATACCAATCATGTTAATTCCAGGGTGTTCAAGAGAAATTAATGAGGTTCTAGTGATTAAGAAAAAATAGAACCCAAACTGGTCACTTGAAGTGGGTACAGTTTTTGGAAGCAGTGGGACACAGGACAGAGAATTGTATGAGCATAGCTGGAGGAATTTGCCTCGAGTTGATGGTGAGGAGAGGGCAGTTTGGAGCTGATGCTGTGCTGAGCTGATTTTGACTTCTTTGTGCTCTTTCTGCAGGGAGGTCCTGGCCAGTGAAGCCATTCTTAATATTCCTGACAAATCTAACTGGAGGCAGTGTCAGATCAGCAGAGAAGAGGAAGAGACTCTAGCTCGTCGCTTCCGGAAAGACTTCGAACCCTTTGACTTTACTCTGGATGACTAACCAAAAGGAAAGGCATTTCATGAACTTCACAGGTTCATCAGTCTGTATTTTTAAAAAGGCATTCTCCCAAGGAGACTGCTACCCTGCCTCTTTCATGCATTCCCATGGAAACTGCCTGCAGCAAGAGGCTACAGACTGAGTAATTTTTGGAAGTTACATTTGATGATGAAGCTTAGAAGCATGTCTGTTACTGCCTGTGTCTTATCAATGTTAAAAAAAAACACAACAAACAAACATGTAAAGGATCAAATAAAGTCCAGAAGCTTTTCTGTAGTTGAGAAGTGTCTTGTGTTATATAATCTGTGATCACTGAAGTGAGGCTGTGTGTGTAATAACGAGGTGCCTGAGTTTTAGGCCTACCTCCAGAATTAAGAGTGGTTTTTCTTGAGCAGCTTAGTTTGGGGGAAGAAATCTAAGACCTTTGTTATTTTAGTCCTAGAGCAGTCATATCAGTAATGTATAAAAGCTCATTCAGTCTTTTGGCAAATATTTAACTCAGATGCTTTGCTCTTTGGAGACAAGGATGGCAAAGCTTCATTTCCTATACTATGAACATATTAGGAGGAGCTACTCTTAGAAAGGGACATCATACTTGGCATGTCCCTGAATGAGATGGATCGCCTCAGTGACTGGAGCAATGGGGGTAGGTATGTCAGACAGTGAACTTGGCTCAAGATAGAATGGGGTTCAAAGCTGTACATAGGGTCGCTGTGAGTTGCAAGCAACTCAGTGGCGCATAACAAACAACCCTGTTAAAATTATTTTGATTTCATTCATGGCTTAGAAAATGAACGTGGTTTGTTTTTTTTTCTCCCAATCATGAAAAATACTAGATCTCTCCATTCCTTTCAAATCACTTTCCAGTCTCTCCCATGATGGTTTGGCTTTCAACTTTCAGATTGCCTTCCCGTGTATATACTTCAACTTTCTTGAGACCCCTGCCATAGATTCTCCCGTTTCACCAACTGTGGAGCTGACACTGATAAAGACTACCAAGTACTTCAATATTATGGTGTTAGTAGGTGCTAGTCCTATGAACACTGGATCTCTTGCCCTAATCTATGCCATCCTCACCATCTCATATACTTGAGCACATTGTTAATCACTGTCAATCCATATTGAGGGTCATCTCTTTCAGTGATTCTCCACATTTCCAAAACATGATTGTCTTTTCCCAAGGACTGGCCCTAGGAACAGCTTATCTAAACTGTGTGAGATGAAGTTTCACCATCCTTGCTTCTAAGGAACACCCTGGTTGCACTTTTTCCAAGATACATGTTTATTCTTTTAGCAGTCCATGGGGTATTCAGTACTGTTCTCCAATACTACAAGTCAAAGCATGTTGCTCTTAGGTGCCAATGAGTATGACTCAAACTCTGAACAACAGATCTGAACCATGTCCTAGCCTACGTTCTTATGAGTAGAGTGAGCTCGCTGACCTTCCACCCTTCCAACCATCATGTCCTTCTCCAAGGACTGGTCCCTCTTTGCAACACGCCCAAAGCATGTAAGATGGAGCTTTAGAATCCTTGCCTCCAAGGAGCAGCCTGGTTTCACCCTCTCCAGGTCGAACCTGTTTGTTGTCCTGTTTGTCCATGGTATATCAGTACTCTTCTCCAGCACCACAACTCAAAGGCATCAATTCTTCTATCATCCCTAATCACTGTCCAGCTTTCTGATGCATAGCAAGAAACCGCGCAGACTGTGGCCTGGATCATGCGCACCTTAGCCTCAAGACTGATTTTATGGCTCCTGATTGCTCTGGTGAGGTCCCTAAGAGCAGATTTTCCCAATGCAATTGGTCTTTTGATTTCCTGGCTCCTGGTACCCAGAGTGTACACTCTAAGAGAACCTCCCGGGTAGGTACTCCGGAACTGCCGCTCTAGGTGTTCGGCGGGTCCGGGAGAACTGGGGCGGAGCTTTTCCAGGGCCACTTACCGGAAGTGACACAGATCTCGCGAGGACAAAGACGCGGGAGTCTCGGCGGCCCGGAACCGGCCTTGGCAGTGCGGCGGTGCCTGAGGCCGCTTCCCCTCCCGCCCCATGGAGGGGCCCCCGGGCCTGCGGCCGGGCGCGGGCGGGCCCTGGGAGATGCGGGAGCGGCTGGGCACCGGCGGCTTCGGGAATGTCTGCTTGTACCAGCATCGGGTGAGCGGGGCGCGCCCGGCAGAGGGGATGGCTGTTTGTCAGAGCGGCTGTGGATCATGGGCGACTGTCAGCATAAGAGTTGTCAGTTTTGGGGCGTGTGTGTGTGTGTGTGTGTGTGTGTGTATGTCTCAGAGAGATTGTGCTTGTGAGCTTGGGTGACGGGGCTCCGAGGTTATTTCCGTAGGACTGTGTTATGGTGCTGGGCTAGTGTGCGCGGGATGGAGCGATTAGGGGGAAGCTTTTGGTAGGAGTGGCAAGATTGACAAGATGTTTGATGTGTGACAGTGCCGTTATAAGTCTCTGGATGTTGTGCCGGGGCTGTGTGAGACATAGGAACGTCAGCATGTGTATACGTGAGCAAGCATAGGTGAGGATATGGAGCTAAAAGGGGAGCTGCCTGTTAGAGTGTATATACTTGTGTTTACACCTTGTGGGAGGCCATGTGATAGATACGCTTAGGTCTAAAGGCATGGAATAGACCACGAGCAGACACGAATATTAATAATATTATGCATCAGCCAGAACTCGACTCATGGAGCGTAGATGCTGGTGGTAGCGTCTTGGAGTTTTATTTGGCAGTTTCCAGGGAAATTGAACGTGACCATTCCCCATGATCTACTGAGTATACATTTGGACGCGTTGCATGCATAAGTTGTTGTTGTTAGGTGACACAAGTCAGTGTCAATTCATAGCAGCCCTTTGAACACCAGATCTGAGCCTCGCCTACCCTGCGCCATCCTCATCATCTCTTATGTACCAGCCCATTGCTGCATTCGCTGTGCCAATTCATTTTGCTCTCATCTTGTTGGTCTTCCTCTCTTTCTCTGGCATGCTGTATTTTTCCAAGAACTCTTTCTAGGGTATAGGGTAGCAATTCTGAAAGTTTTTTGTGTTTTGTTGTGGTTTTTTTTTTTTTAAAAAAAAACCAACAACTAACCCTTTTAAATACTTGGGGGGGTGGAAGATGTTATTGTTTTTAAGGTCAAATTGGAACCAACTCATAGCTGACCCTCGGATGAGTTTCAAATCGGAGGAGATTACTCATCTTTTACCCCCAGAGCACTTGATGGATTCAAACTGCATGTCTTTGGCTGGCAGTACAGTTTCTTAGCACTGTACCACCAGACCTAAAAAAAAAAAAACAACCAACAAAAAACCCCTGTAGTATGACCAAATACATTAAGTAAATGCTGCACATAATTATTACTTAATTTTGAGATCACAACCAACGTTGCCGTATTAAAAGCTTTGATAAGTCCTGTAAGTAAAGAACTTAATCTTTTCCAAATTTATTATTACCCTTTTGTAATTGTTGTTGTTTTTCATTGCTGTCAAGTCCAGCACAGCTCACAGCGCCCCTATGAACAAAAGACCTGAAGCCTTTCTATAACTAGCATTGTTTCTCAAAGTCGTAGAGTTTCCAGAGGCATGTTGTTTAAGAAGTACATGCCATTCAGGACCTTTTATTTCCGCCCCTCTCCCAATTATGATTGGAGTGAAAGTTTATGAAGTAGATTGGTTTTCCATCCAGCCATTTATATATATTTTGTTTTGTGACATCAGTTATAATACCTATGGTGTACTATTGTGTAACCACCTTCTTCTTCCTCCCTTGTTTCCCCTCAGTAATTCTTCTGTCACTTTATGCCTATGACCTATGACTCTTATTTCCATTAATCCTCCTATTCTTTCCTGCCTTGTAAACTCAGTCCCTGGGCAGGCATTGCCCTTTTGATCTTATTCTAAGGAATGAGGGCTTCCCTGCTGTCACTGTTTACCTTGCAGATCTGTCTGTTGTTTTTAGTTAGACTGGGCCATGAGAATGAGTTTTGTATATGGGGCTCCACTAATAAATACATTAGACCAGTAAGCCTCGCCCTTTTTATGTTTTTAAATTTTGTTCCCCATTTTTGGCCTCCTCTCTCTGTGACCTTACACTGTGGTCCCTTTTAGAGTGGTTAGCAGAGGTCACTGGGTACCGGGTAGTTCCACAGTGGTGGAGGTTGAGGTTCATATGGTCCCTTAATCCTCTGGGCTAACTTTCCCCTGCCTCTTTTAATTTCTTCTTTGCTTTCAAGAGGGAGAGACTCACAGCTGCACTGTCAGTAACCACTTGACAGCTTTGAAAATCCCAATTATTAGTCACCAACAAAGGATGTAAAACTTGCCTTTTGTGAACTGTGTTATGGCAGTTGACCTTGATATCCCCCAAGTCTATGGTCTCAAAGCCCTCAGACTATGCCTTCAGGGTGTTGGGTTATGATTAAAAAGCTTTCGCCTTGTCCTGTTTGCCTCTGCTATATACTTGCGTATATTTGCAGCATATACCAATCTGAATGTAGAATCTATTATCTGCCAAACCTATGTATGGTTATGGATATAGTCCTTTTTTGCCTGCCCATATCTAGTCCTGACTTTCCCCCTACATATCTACTTGTAGATTAATATTTATTACTGTAATAATGCAGGATCAAATATATAATAATGTTTACCTTTGTTGACATGTGTTTCTTGTGTGCCTTTCTTCCCTTTCTTTAATAATGTTAAACTCTTATTACATATTGCCTTTCCCTTCACTCCTAAGTCTCAATTTAATAAAAAATTTTAGTGTTGCTTCTTTTGCTAAGTATTTGTAAGTGTCTCACACAGTGCTCTTTGTGAAATGATAAAACAGGGAAGGTCTTCACAGAATAGTAGAAGGATTTTTGTGGGTGGGACCTTTTTTGAAACAGAGCTTCCTGACTCATTCTTGGGCTTTGAACTGGTTTAGCCTAGTTCAACCTTAGCTAGAGAAGTGACATCAAAACAGATCTGACTTTTTAAAACTTTGAGCAAGCTGATGGGATAACTGGAAAAGAAAAATGATGGATTCTAGCCCTGCCAGAAATTAATCTCTCTCTTAGGATATCTTTGTTGTGTAATAAACAAATCTCTTGCCCACTGAATAGGAAATAATATCACCTGGGTCAAAGGTGGTGGCTGAGCATATTGGAATATGTGTCATTCTCCACATTTTGCCAATAATCCAGTCTCCCACATTAATGTCCCTAACAGGACCTGTTAAATTTCCTCCAGGACTCTGACTTGTAATTCTTCCTGTTAATAGTTATCATTCTTTGTCACCCAAATTTTAAACATTTACATCTCTGGTTTTGCTTTGTAAGCCATGACTGAAGCAGTTTAAACCAGTTTTTAGCTTTTCCTGGAATTAATGTTTAACATTGTTCACCATATCATTAAATTGTCTCTAAAGTGGTGAAGATTTATGTGGGACATAGTTACAGTAGGCACCTGCTCATGTCTAAAGAAAGGTTGACCAGAGTGAGGATTGTGGTTAGGTTGTAATCTGAAACATGTATAGTTTCTCTCTGTATACATGTTAAACAACTCATAGTGATCTTACAGGTAGGACTGACCTGCGCTGGAATCTTTGTGGGAACAGATTTCCAGGTCTTTTCTGTGGTGAGTTTGAGCCTCCAGCCTTTTAGTTAACAGTCAAGCGCTTAACCCTTTCACCTTCTGTCTTTATGCTGTTGTTGCTGTGTATTCTTCAGTTTGAACTGACCCATAGTTGACCATCCAGCAGGTTTTCAGAGGCAGTAAGCTGTACAGGAGGAGACTGCCCATCCCTCTCCCATGGAACAGCTGGTGGGTTCAACCTTTGTGCCGCTGGAGTTCAGTGCTGCTTCTTAACGCTAGGCCACCAGGCCTCCTTGACAGTCTTATTTCTAACTTCTTTCTCTCTCCATTCTGATAGTCTCAGTTTCCGACTTTGTTTTGCTTCCCCTCTTAGAGTTTTGTTTTTAACATTTCTTGTCTCTTCTAGTTCCTGGAGACTGTCCTCTTTATTCATGCATAATCGACAGCATATCTCTGGTTTGTGTTAGAGTCTGTACATTTCAGCAGTCTTTTTGGACAATCCTTACCATGTCAGAAACATAGAGCAACCTGTTTGACTTTGAGCTTTTCTTGTTGGGCCATGCTATTAGCCTTACCAGTGGGTACTGAATACAATGGAGTCTGGCTAGTTTCTTTAATAAGCATTGGGATGGTTTTCATTTCTGTCAGAATCATTTAAATTACTAGCCATAGGCAGGAGGCTGGTAGGTTAATTCTATGGATGTGGAAGCTGCAGTACAATCATTGTTAAGATTTTCTTGTATCCTGCTACTTTGCTGAATTGGTCAACTACGTCTAATAGTTTTCTTGCTGAGTCTTTAGGGTTTTCTAAGTATACTATCATGTCATCAGCATAGAGGGATAATTTTACCTCCTCGTTGCCTATT